AATATTTAGTACCTTTGTACGTTATATACAATGCAATTCACATTTTATACAATATATAGAAATGTTGGAATTTAGTGAAATTACATATGCATTTAGTTATGAAAATAAAAAAATAATTACTTTATTTGAAAATTTTGAAGTTGGAGTTTTATTTGGCCATACTTTTAAAAAGAATATTTACAATTTGAATATATTTTGTCTGAATATGATTTAAATCCTCAATTTTTAAAAATTAAAAAAATCACCCAACTTGACTAGCTTAACCATGTATACATATATTCATTTGACTTGACACATTTTTTTTTTTTGTTGGTGGTGTGAGTTTCTTAAACAATATAGACAAAAGGATGAATCTAGCAACTTTTTCGATAGTGCAAGGACATTTTTTGTTCACTTATATAACACACGGATATACTTTAGGTTTAAGTCATACCGCAAGAATGATTTTAGTCAAAAACTCGCTTAAATGGTGTAAAATGGACAATTTGCAATTCCATCCTTTTTAGTTTGGTAAAACTACATTTAGGTAAACTTTATTTTTGTGTCTGAAATAAAGTTTAAATAAAGAGCGACATGGTTTATTTGATTTAGTTTTTACCAACTTCTTTATATATATATATAATAATAATAATTTAGAAACAATTTAACTTCTAACTGTTGGGTTTAGCAAGGTGTGAATGGAAATAAAAAGAGAAAATGGAAAGTGGAAGAACCAATGAAAGTGGGGGAACCAATTTTGGAGAGAAAATGAAAAGTCATTGTAAAGTGCAAATTGTTGTCTTTATATTAGGAAACACTTTCTTTAGTTCTTAAAGGGTTAAGAAGAAGGTGCCTCCTCGCGCCGTCGTCGTCGCTCGCTCGGCTTCGGCTTCGGATTTGGCAATTGATTGATAATATTTTTTGGACAAAATTTATTTAATCAATCTTGTTAATTCATTTCTTTTCTCTTATAAATTAATTCAGAATGTTAGTTAAATAACATAATTAATTTCACAATGAATTATTTGAAATTCGCGCGTAATGGTAAATTCGTTTGAAAGGATTTGTTCCTTTCGAAAAGTCGTTACTTTTCCCAAAAGACACAACGTTCTGGAAAAAACGGGTCTGAACAGATTTGTCTGAACATACGCGCTCCTTGTTGCTGTTCTTGCGTTCGCTGAAGTTATTGAAGTTTGAGGTACCGCTACTTCCTTAACAGGTTAATCTGTTTTATCTTGGGAGGAATTAATCTGCAACCTCGGGTACAGTGAGGGGATTAAATTTCTTAAGGAAACACAGTGATTTCTGTGGACTCGGATTAAAAATCATTCTGTCTATTTCATCTTTTTCTGTTTATGTATTTGTGACTAACCTGAATACATGAGATAACACTAACTTCTATTTTGTTCGTGATAACCACACAAATATTTATTATTTATTTAGATCACAAATTTTTAAGAATATTTCTTGAACTCAATTCCCAATTAAGATGCATCACATATATTGTAATAAAGGGAGTATATAAGTGACAGTACAAGAAAAATTAAGGAGATGATGATCAAGAACATATTTAAAGTTTCACTTTTACTTTTACGAGTTTTATGTACCTGAACTATTGTGTGTTTGCATTTTCTACCTGAATTAGACGGTGACAATTCCAAGGTCATGTCTATTTCATAGAGGAATAAATAACAAGAATGTAATGTAAATACTTTGTTAGTTCTGCAATTACAATGCTTCAAGCTCGCCCAGGGGAATTTAACACACAACATAACTTCGAAATAAACGTTAACTCAAGAACCCCAAATTGGGTGATACTTCTTCGAGTTTCTTCTTCACAGATAAGGAAGGAACATGTCCAACATACTTCTCGGACCTCAATCTAATTTGGACTAATTCTTTAATAGGCAAGAAATTCCTCTTAACCAGACAAAAAGTAAGTTTCCACTCAATGCTCCAAGCTCACCCAAGGGAATTTAACACAACATAACTTTGAAATAAACATCAACTCAAGAATCCCTAATTGGGTAATGCTTCTTCGTGTTTTTTTTTTTCACATATAGGGAAGGAACATGTTCAACTATTTCTAGATCTAACTTGGACTAATTCCTTAATAGGCGAGAAATTCCTACTAACCAGACAGAAAGTAAGTTCCCACTCAATGCTTCAAGCTCACCCAAGGAAATTGAACACACAACATAACTTTGAAATAAACATCAACTCAAGAATCACAAATTGAGTGATGCTTCTTCGAGTTTCTTCTTCACGGATAAGGAAGGAGCATGTCCAACGTACGTCTCGATTTAACTTGGACTAATTCCTTAACAAGCAAGAAATTCCTACTAACCAGACAGAAGGTAAGTTTCCACTGAGTGCTTCAAACTCGCCCAAGGAAATTTAACACACAACATAACGTTGAAATAAATTCAACTCAAGAATCCCAAATTGGGTGATGCTTCTTCGAATTTCTTCTTCACATATGAGGAAGGATCATGTCCAACATATATATTTCTCGGTCTAACTTAGACTAATCCCTTAGAAAATAAGAAATTCCTACTAACCAGACAAAAAGTAAGTTTCCATTCAATGTTTCAAGCTCGCCAAGAGAATTTAACACACAACATAACTTCAAAATAAACATCAACTCAAGAATCCTGAATTGGGTGATTCTTCTTCGAGTTTCTTCTTCACAGATGAAGAAGGATCATGTCCAACATATATACTTCTCGGTCTAACTTAGACTAATCCCTTAGCAAACAAGAAATTCCTACTAACCATACAAAAAGTAAGTTTCCATTCAATACTTCAAGCTCGCCTAAGAGAATTTAACACACAACATAACTTCGAAATTAACATCAACTCAAGAATCCCAAATTGGGTGATGCTTCTTCGAGTCTCTCTTTCACAGATAAAGAAGGATCATGTCCAACATATATACTTCTAGGTCTAACTTGGACTAATCCCTTAATAGACAATAAATTCCTACTAACCAAACAGAAAGTAAGTTTTCACTCAATGCTTCAACCTCGCCCAAGGTAATTCAACACACAACATAACTTCGAAATAAACATAAACTCAAGAATCCCAATTTGGGTGATGCTTCTTGAGTTTCTTCTTCACATATGAGGAAGGATCATGTCCAACATATATATTTCTCAGTCTAACTTGGACTAATCCTTTAACAGGCAAGAAATTCCAACTAACCAGACATAAAGTAAATTCCCTTGAATGATTCAACCTCCCCTAAGGGAATTCAATACATAACATAACTTCGAAATAAGCAACCAAAGTCTCAAATCATACATCATTCAAGAACAAGAATGAAATGTAAAAACCATCTCTGTTCCCAAACAGAGTATTCAAAACATTCATCCAGGTTTACAATTCTATGTTTCCAAGCATATAAAATCTTTATAGTACCTTAAAGCAAAGGCAAAACACAGCCTTACTACTCCATCAACCAAACGTTTCGTTTCTGTTCACACTTCCAAAACATTTTAGCCAAAGATCATAAAGATCAAGAATCCCAAATTGGGTGTTGCTTCTTCGAGTTTCTTCTTCATAGATAAGGAAGGAACATGTCCAACGTACGTCTCGATCATACTTTGACTAATTCCTTAACAATAAAGAAATTCCTACTAACCAAACATAAGGTATGTTTCCACTCAGTGCTTCAAGCTTGCCCAAGGAAATTTAACACACAACATAACTTTGAAATAAATTCAACTCAAGAATCACAAATTGGGTGATTCTTCTTCGAGTTTCTTCTTCACAAATAAAGAAGGATCATGTCCAACATATAAACTTCTCGGTCTAACTTAGACTAATCCCTTGGCACATAAGAAATTCCTACTAACCAGACAAAAAGTAAGTTTCCATTCTATACTTCAAGCTCGCCCAAGAGAATTTAACACACAACATAACTTCGAAATTAACATCAACTCAAGAATCCCAAATTGGGTGATGCTTCTTCGAGTCTCTCTTTCACAGATGAGGAAGGATCATGTCCAACATATATACTTCTAGGTCTAACTTTGACTAATTCCTTAGCAAACAAGAAATTTCTACTAACCAGACAAAAAGTAAGTTTCCACTCAGTGCTTCAAGCTCGCCCAAGAAAATTTCACACACAACATAACTTTGAAATAAATTCAACTCAAGAATTCCAAATTGGGTGATGCTTCTTCGAGTGTCTTCTTCACAGATGAAGAAGGATCATGTCCAACATATATACTTCTCTGTCTAACTATGACTAATCCCTTAGCAAACAAGGAATTCCTACTAATCAGACAAAAAGTAAGTTTCCAATTCAATGTTTCAACTCGCCCAAGAGAATTTAACACACAACATAACCTCGAAATAAATATCAACTCAAGAATTCCGAGTTGGGTGATTCTTCTTCGAGTTTGTTCTTCACAGATGAGGAAGGATCATGTCCAACATATCCCTTAGCAAACAAGAAATTCCTACTAACCATACAAAAAAATGTAAGTTTTCATTAAATACTTCAAGCTCACCTAAGAGAATTTAACACACAACATAACTTCAAAATAAACATCAACTCAAGAACCCCAAATTGGGTGATGCTTCTTCGAGTTTCTTCTTCACAGATGAGGAAGGACCATGTCCAACATAAATACTTCTCGGTCTAACTTGGACTAATCCCTTAACAGGAAAGAAATTCCTACTAACCAGACAGAAAGTAAGTTTCCACTCAATACTTCAAACTCCCTAAGGGAATTCAACAGACAACATAACTTCGAAATAAACAACCAAAGTCTCAAATCATACATCATTCAAAAACAAGCATGAAATGTAAAAACCATCTCTGTTCCCAAACAGAGTACTCAAAACATTCATCCAGCTTCACAATTTTATGTTTCCAAGCAGAAAAAAAACTTAATAGTACCTTAAAGCAAAGGCAAAACACAGCCTTACTACTCCATCAACCAAACGTTTCGTTTCTGTTCACACTTCCAAAACAATTTAGCCAAAGATCAAGCAGGATTGTGATAACGATACTAATCAACAAGATACACAACTTCTGCTTTAGATGATGCCCGTTGAAACTTTGTTATCTCCACGAGTAATTTGAGAGATTTTTTAGTTTCCATTTGACGAGGCTTGATTTCCATTTTCACTAGTGCTGGAGACTTTGCCAATAAAACCTTGATAAGCTGCATTTCACCCTCTTCTAATAGTACATCATAAAACTTAACTGTCCTCAGATGATTAAATGTCATATCCGAAAAGCTTGCAGGAATCTCATCAACAACCTCCTGGGGCACAGATTCGAAATAATCCCCATCACCAAGGATACACCCCTAAGAAAAATCAAGAAAAAAACCATCAAGTCATTACATACGAATATAAAAACATGGAAAAGATAGAGAGAAAACTAAACATTAGTGACAACCTTAATTTCAATTTCTTCCAAATTTGGGGAGCTTAGTATCATACAGAGAGTAAACGAAAGCTCAAAAAACTCTCCAAGAGTAATCCAAGATATGAAGAGGCGTTTCAGACAGTCAAGAGCTGATGGAAGCTTTGTTGGTATAAATTCAGTTGATCCAATATCGACCTACGAATAAAATGACAAAAATTAGGATGCTAAAAAAGATAGTACATGTATGAAAATGCAAGTAATTAAAATGAAGCAACATTACCTCAAAATGATCCCAGCTGAAACACTCGAGAGCAGGAACAGACGAAAAAATATTGGCAAAATCATCTTCGTCCTCTAGAACTAAGTCTCTAGGCTCATACAGAATATTCGAAAGAAGAGGGACATTTTCAAGATATATCAACTGTATATCGCCACGAAAGACAAATGACCTTAGCTTAGGAGCACTAATACTCATGAGGTACGGATTGTGTATGTCTTTTAACACCAAATCCTCAAGCAACGGGCAATTAGAGATCAAACCTTCAAACGTATCAGAAGATAACGTGACAGATTTTAATTTTAGACTAATAAGCTTATTAAATCCCTGAAAGAAACTTGGAACAAGTATTTCACATTCCATGAGATACAGATGCCTCAATGCTGAACAATAAAAAAAGAAGAAAGGCAAACTGTATCGGGGATAAGAAAATGGAAGTTTAAGGACAAAATGTTGAATGAAATTTGTATCGAGGAGAAAAATCAAACGATCAACATTAGGACATACTTTTAGACTAATAATATCGAGGGTGACCTTCAATGTTATTCCTATATGAAACCTGAAGAAACTACGGAGAATGGGAATAAATCCAATGGTAGGGGATGTCAAGTCCTCTGGTGTTTCCCAGACCGTTTGATCAAACTTCACTTGTGGAATTCTACGACAAGTATATTGCCAATCCTTCGAAAGTGTACTAGTTCTTACAACATCTCGAAAAGACAACCTATTTAGAATGTCATCGATTAAATGAATGGCAAGTTTGCTAAGTCGATCAGGAGAAGGTAAACAAAGTCTTTGTTCATCTGGAGGCATGATAATCTGTAGAAAATAATCAAAAATACGATAGGTAGGTAAGGTCAGAGTATACGCTACACGAACAACAAACAAACATGTCACAACTCTAAGAATAAAAGAAAAGGTGCATGATAGGGGGTAAATATAACCTTTTTCCATGTGTAAAAAATGCAAAAGAAATTATTTGTAGATGACATTTGCATTGATTTTTTTTTTTTTAAGGCAAATTTACCACTAGACAGTGTCTAGCGGTCTTTTATTAAACATAAAAAATATCAATAGGGACAAGTACAAGCAAGGGAAGCTAGACCTTATCTTACTAATCCTAATGAAATACCTAACTTCTGCTACCTAACAAGCATGAAGAAAATAATAGCTTTAATTTGCAACTCTTGATGTAAAATTGTCTAGCTTAGGTTAAATCAAACACATATAAAGTATTTTCTGTATAGAAATTGAAGAGAGATGTTATACTTAGAGGTCATTTGGTTGGGAACAAGTTATGCCAAGATTAGTTATCCTGAGATTAATTATGCTGGGATAAGTTATCCCATCACTATGGTATAAATGGTGGGATACGTTATCCCAAACATGACAACCAAACAAGACACAACATTTTTATCCCATCACTATTTTCTTATCCCGTGACTATTCATTTTTATCCCTCCCACCAAACGACCCCTTATTGTACTAGGGTAGAAATTTATAATACTGAGTGCTTACATGAAAGCACTATATGAATGACATGTGTTTATTGTAACATTATAAATCAATAGGTAACACTTGACATTTCCTTCAACACTAAAGGAGTCGTTTGGTAGTATATATAAAAATAGTATTTGTGTTAAATTCTATACAATGTTTGATTGTAAATTTAACTCTGGTACAACTAATACTAGTATTACAATTATATGACCCAAACATTTGTGCTACGAGAAGGGGAAAAAATTAATTTAGTGAACTACACACTTAATTTCAATATTTTGGTGAAAGAGATTCAAAAAATACATCATGAAATTTTAATTTATGTATAAGCTATTAATAAGAACACCAAAATCATGAGAAATAATATTATATTGTTAATTCAAATATTCATATCCAAACCCTTAATTAAACCTAAAATCCTCAAATCTTGAATGAGAAAACAGATTCCTATAAATTAAAAAAAATGTTGATAATTGAACAAGGTGATATTCATTATTCAAGACTAAGCCATAAGTCCATATGCCTTTAATCTTGTTTTCTCAAGTTAGCATAATTAGAATTTCACAAATATTTTACTTTTTTTTAATAGTGTAATTATTTAGAAAACTCCAATCTTAAGAGGAAACAAGTTTGAAATAACTTAATTTTGTTGCTACCATTACACTATGAATTTTGATACACCCATCATCATCAGAGTATATTATAGTTTTTTTTTTGAAAAAAAAATATTACTATTGTTATTGTTGTTGTAATTAGGGTTTTTTTTTTATATCAATTATGTGTACTAACTAATGGTAAAATGTTCAATTAAGAAAGGACATATGTTCAATACTGATTAGATTTATTTTTTCATATTTTTTACTTGTCATTTGCTTTCAAGTTTCAACACTCTCTATGTCACCTCAACACCAAAAGGTGTATTTATTACATTTCAAAATAGTTCTAGGAGGTATTAGGACTCTGTAAAGAAAATGTGTGTCCTTAAAATTTCGACCATAGTTCAAGGGAATACTTATGCCTTTTTTCAAAAAAAGATTTAATACTTAAAAATTTGTCAATGTTTTTCCATAACTTTTTCTTTTTGGAATTCATGGGTTCTAGGACTAAATAAGAATCATTCTCTTTCTTTAAGTTAGATTCCTAACATGACGTATTAAATCTATCAAAAAAATATTGTTGTAGTTTATTTAATGCCCATTCTAACATTTTTTTCTTTCTTCAATCTTAATGGTGGTTGTCTAAAATCTTATGCCGTAATAGAACATAAAAATTTGTATCTATAACAAGCAGAAATGAACCCAAGAATTGAAGACTTCAGACGCACCAATAAACTTAAAAAGAAATAAGGGCTCTAGCTAGATTCAAACCCTAATCTATTCCTCTAGCTTGTACCAACATCACAAGGACACTCCTAGACTCATCAAAAGTGTACTGTTAATTAAATCCTAAATTTTTGCCAGTTTCCAGGATATATATATGTATACACATGATTTTTTAAAAGTTAATGGGTGCACTTGCACCCGCACATATGAATGTGGGTTCGCCTCTCATAACAAGATAAAGTTGTTTGGTGAGTGAAGATCATTAGTTCAAGTTTCAGGGCTCTGATACAACATGTAAAAACATAAACATTTATGCTAATAAATAAATTAACATATATACATACCAGGATTTTGAACTCATACAAAGCGTACCTGATGCAAAAAACGAAATCAATCTCCCTTTACCCTATCTTACGCTACCGCAACTTTCGTGATTGAATCGAGTGGAGGTAGTAACCCTAATGAGCATAAAAGGACCAACTTATAAGGATTTCATTGGAAATGTTATTGTTTTTGTTGCCCATCATGTAATCTAATGAAATGATAAAATCTATCTAATTATTAAAATAAAAAAATATTACATTGTACAACTAACTTATGATGTATAATTATATAGTGAATGCTTTAAATAATTACTATTTACAGCTAATCTTTTTATTTCATAGCAAAATGGTAAATACACCTAGGCATCGGTCGGTTCGGTTCGGTTTTATGAATTATCGGTTCGGTTTATCGGTTTTCGATTTTTAAATACACTAAATCAATAACGAATCAATAAGATAATTTTTTATCGATTTTCGGTTTATCGGTTTTGGTCCTTAACGGTTCGATTTTCGGTTTAACCAATAAGAACATGCTTATAAAACAAATATATGACTTCTCTAATAAATTTGGCACGACAAGACAATAATGTAACTTTACAAAAGCTCATAAAATAGAAATAGTAATAACAAACATAAAAAGAACTATACATATGTAACACAAAGAGAAATAAAGAGGAATATGATTCTTACTATATGTTTTGACGATTTGTATAATGTAAAGTTGTGAACTCAAAGTCACAGCGAAGTATGAATTGATGGCTAAATGACAAAGACATAACTATTAAGATATTGAGATTAATATTTACTAATATGTAAAAGTAGTAAATTACTATAGTCT